ACACAGTCGCCGGTGCCGCGAGAGTTGGGCGCTGGAGCGGCCGCACGCCTTTAATCCCAGCACTTGGGAGGCAGGTGGATCTCTGTGAGACCGAGGCGAGCTTGGTCTACACAGTGAGTTTCTGGCCAGCTAGCTGCAGGAGACCCTAATCTCAAAAAGACAAAAAAAAAAAGGCCATGTGCATTGCGTCTTCTCTTCCAAGAAAAGGGCTACAGGGGCCGGGGAGTTGGCTGGGCAGAAAAGGCGCTTGCCGCCCAGCCTGAAGACCCGAGTTCAATCCTCAGAACCCACAAGGCAGGAACGAACCAACTCGCGCAGGGTGTTCTCTGACTCCCACAGGGCACCACGCGCACACATACAATAGAGATAAAAATATTTATGGAGAGGAAAAGGGCTACAGCTGCCTGCTCCCAGTTTGATACAGGAAGTTTGGAGCATCTCCCTGACAAGGATGGATGACAAGGATGATGCCTGGCCCAGGGGCAACGAGGCCCAAACTTCTGGAAAGTTTCCTGTAGGGTCTCCTGCTTGTCTCCTTCCCCAGCTTTTCCTAGCTTCGGAGGTCTACTGCGTTAGCTAAGCGCATCCTCCGGGCCCTGCGTCTTCTCCCGCGGGAAGCCTTCCTGGCTCCCGCCCAGCTCTCTTGACCCTCTCTGTGTTCCGGGGTGTGTTTGTTGTGACTCCCCGAAAGCCAGCCCGAGGAACTCTCGGATTACTCTCAGGTTAACCCAGGACAGAGCTGAACCGAGGGTGGAATTCCAGGTTTAAGGTGGGCGGAGCTTCGGTAGCGCCTACAGCACAGCCATTTTTCTGGTTCTTGACCAGTGCGGGCGGGAGGATCACCTCGCGTAGGAGAAAAAGCTGTCAGGCGGTCTACAAGTTCCAAATTTCTCAGGTCCTTTTTCGTTCGACTTTTTAATATGTAAGACAGGAACAACGCCATTCTACATCTCCAGTGATTCCACGTTTCACACGTATACACCAAGCGCTTACTGAATACCTGGCACTGAGAACCAAAGCAAGCCCCTGTCTTGCCTGAGTTCACAAGGGAGAAGGCTACTGTTAAGGCTCAGATAGCCCTGCCCCCTCACCAACAGGGTCCCAAGGACTTCTCATGCTCCTGAGAAAAGGGAACCTAGCTGATAAGCACCTTGGTCTTTGAAGTCAAGAGAAGCAGACTTTTCTCCACTGTTTGGCCAACACAGCAGGCTTCCCCTT